CCAATTCGCCTCCACCAGTCTCGGCGCGGCTCGGTGTTGTGTTATTACAGGACAGCGAGGTCCAGCCCCGCGTTATACAACACCACGAGTGCGATAGCGAGGATAGAGACACGACGCTCTGCTCCGTCTGACGAGCCCGGCTCGGGTCCAGTCCGATCCCGTATCCGGGCGCAGCTGCGGCGGAGACGACCCGAGGCCGGTGTTTGTTTATGGGGGCCTTAGAACGTGACGGTTACAGGATATCAAATCCACCAGCCGGCGAGAGCGGTGGGCCGCATTCCGACACACTGCGCTGGTCGGCGGGCTTACACCGGCCTGTCACCGACACGGGAGCCGGCGGCGCCGTTATCTCTGCCCCGAGTTGCCAAATCGGTGACCGTTACGGCGACCGGCCGCCGCTAGAAAGGCGCACGACTCCCGAGCCGGCACTCTCACTGACAGGCATTCGGCCGAATTATTCAGAGCAGTGGCACGGCTCCACAGCGCGGAGGGTAGCGGCGAGCTGCCACCGCGTGATGGGATTGTGATTCTCTCATGCATTCTTCCATGAAAGTGTATGAAACTTTCACCGTCGAATGCTGAACAATGTCCAGTGAACGTTGAGCATAGTTGGATGTAATACAGACGACATAAGCGACAGAAGGAAATGCCCATAATGTTCACATGAACGCACTTGGCAGCCTGGTTCCGAGCGCAGCACGAGGAGGGCCCCTAACAAAGGCCCGGAGGCAGTAGCGGTGGCGGTGACGCACCTGCTCGCGCCGTGCCATCAGTTTGGACTGCAGGGTGGCGTGGCTGGGCCTCGTAGAGCTGCCAGCCGATCCGGGCCGGGGCTGGGACGGGACGGGACTGTTCTTTGTGGCGTCAGCGGCACCTGCGCGCGCCGCGCCCGCCCGACCGCCGTGCTGTTTGTATGTTTGTGTGAGCGGGCTGCAGCGCCAGGCCGGCCCGGCCGGTCCCCTGTCGGTGAGGCGGCCGCTCCGATAACGCGCCCGGCCGGCCGGCTCGGCGGCTCGCTCCCCACGTGGATACGGGCCGGTCGGAGGGGAGCCCGGCCCGGCGCGGCGGCCGGAGGGAGGGCTCAGGTGGCCGCCGGCAGGCACCTGTTGCCGCTCCCCAGCGCCGGGCAGAGCCGGAGGGGAGGGGAGCAGGCAGACCCGCCGGCACCTGCCGACTGCAGGGCAGGGTAGGTGGCAGCACCGTAGACGGGGGTCGTGCTCGATACCAACCAACCCGCCGGGCAAGAGACTATCGATCAAGAGCATTGGTGGGCGAAGTGCCATTGCTCGCTGGCGCGGCGTCGATGCTGAGGCGCTACTCGTCACCAATGAGCAGAGGGGTGGATGCGACGTCTGCTGGGCCTGTTTGCGTGTGAGCGCGTCGGTATGCGTGCGTGTCCGTCCGTTTGTGTGTAAAATAAAAGTTGTGTGTTTCTAAGTACCTACCTATGTAAGCCGAAAAATATCACAGACTTAGGAAACATCTGAGCGGCTTACGTGGCTGTCAAAAATAGATAACGCAAGGAAATAATGCATGGCAAAGGAAGGGCTACGGGAGAAAGGATTATTCAACAGTTGGCTTTAGGATAGCGGATAGACCTAACGCTTATACCAATACAGTAACGAGCCAACAAATACGATTCATTGACCATGAAGCTGAGCAACTTGCATTGAATTTGATACCTCAGCGCTTTTTTTTCTTCAAGCAGTACAAAAATTGTATTATCCGATCTACCACCTTCGTGAGTCCTGAGTCAACACGTTCTTTCTCTCACGGTCTGCATACATTCCGATTTATTGTATCCACCAAGGCAATGGGAGCCTACGTAACCTTCAACTGACAACTGCAAGCCATGACAAACTAGACTTCCACTGCTATCCATGAAGACCATAGATCACCGTTGCAATAAACGTAATAAATTATATAACACAAATATTTTCATCTCGTTCTCTCCCTACATGCGTGTCCCCACGAACATCCCCACAGACAAAGGCGCGTGCTGTTCAGCTCTGTACACCTCTCGGGACGGGCCAGCTGGGCGTCCGTTTAGTGTGTCGCGCGGCTGGGAAAGCCGGTCAAACGCGCGGCGGCGCGGCGGCGCCCGGCCGGCCGGTCCCCGTCCCGGGAATGGGAACACACGCGGCCGGCCGACGGACGGACAGAGGCGGTGGAACGGAGGGCTGGGCACGAGGGATGGGGATAAGTCTGACGTGTTCAGGGGGGGGGGGAGAGTAAACTTAGAGGAGAGGAGTGAGTTTTGTAGACAATTTGTATTACAAGACGAATTTTATCTTTTATTTTTATCAAAACGATACAACCCAATGAGAAGCATAGACAAGTAGGGATGAGAAAGGATCATTGAAGCAATAGAGCCATGACTCATGGCTCCAATCATGTACCCATGGCCCATGGGTGCATGATTGGACACCCAAATAGGTCACAGGGACACACAGAGATCTGACCCTTTTATCAGCGTCCTACAATCCCAGACGTCCACCTACCTGTTTCTGTAGAGCAGACAGATGCGCTCCTTGGGCACCTTCAGCTTCTGTGAGACGAGCAGCTTGAGATAGTCGACCGAGTCGTCGCTGGCGGCCGACACAGCAAACTGTCCGCCGGTGGTCGGCTTGACGGTGACCGAGATGCGCTCGGTGGGCCGGCCGCACGCGCACACGGCCGGCTCGCCGCCGCTGCCGGCCGCGGGCGCCTCCTCTCTGCACAGACCCGGCTCGTCGGCCATGTCGGCTCTGCGCGCCACGCCGACACCGATAGAGCTGAGAGCGGCGTGCGACGCACCTCTCCGAGCGCCGCCGCCGCACTGCGCCCGCCGGCCGCCGCCGCTGCCAGCCGCCGAGCCGAGCCGCGGTGGGAAGGGGCCGCGCGCTGACGGACCCGACACCAGTGGCATCTGTCGGCCGAGATCGGAAGCAGTCGGCCGCGCGGTCCTTGACGAATCTGCCGGGGGAGGAAAGGGATTAGAAGACGGCGCCAGCTGCCCACCGGGGACTTCGTAGGCCGTGGCTGAGGCAACCTTCATTGCATAACACGATAGGCGCTGCAAAGTCACCAAGGGAAGATGCGGACCCGGATTATCACGTTGAACTGAAATTGTGATGTGTAGATCGAGCGGCTGCGCGGACTGCATGGTAAAAAATAAAAATGGTACCGACATGAATCAATGGGATTTGGGAATCACCTGTGTTATGCGCAAATTACACTTTGTGACGGCCCACATTGCAGCTCATAAATTCAACACTCGGAACCATTTTCAATGCACATTGCACACCAGATTGTCCACCGGAGACCATGAAATACGCACGCCGCACTGCTCCGGTAAAGATATTTTGCATAGAAACTACAAACGGCCAAAACGACAGCCGTCCTCGCGGCCAGGGGTAACAAGGGGCAATGCCTCGCAGTCAGAAGTTCCGACAAGCTTCGAGCGAGTACGAAACACGAGCAGAGAGAGAGAGGTGATTCCAATAAGTTCTCTCCTGAGCGGCACGATCTGGAGCGCTTTTTGTTTTGTGAGAGGCCGTCGGAATTTGCAATTGTACATCCGTTTGAAGGACTTATCCAACTCCTGTAGGAACACGTGTTCCGAGAAGGGTCAGAGTACTCTGACCCTTCTCGCCCGAAAACTGCTCTTGAGCTTTGACTAAAATTGTGACTTAAATGACAGGAGCAGCAGCTCGATCTGGGTGCGCGCCACAGGTAACACACGTGAGACGTGACAGTTGCACACGTGCTAAATAAGAGTTATCATTCCACGTCAGTGCAAGACGCACGTCAACGTAGTCAATAGTCAAAAAAAAAATATGGACGGCCAGTGCACTACAACTTGGGTCCGTTCCATGCCACGGTTATGGTGCATCACCGCACGTTGTCGTGCAGCTTGCTTATAAGCTTCACTCTGCAGCCTTAATTTAACCAATGCCTTGAAACTAGGAGGAGCATCGGCGGCCAGCTTGAGCTTCTTTCCAGGCCTTCTCCTTGGGCCTTCTATTTTTCTACATGAGTGATAGCCGATAGGACGTACAATGTACCTACATAAAATGCACAGGAACTAGGAAGGCAGCATTCACTGATAGGAATGCATAAGCATAAAGACAAAAGGTACCGACGGAGTCACGGGACACGGACATATACTATGAAATGATTATAAACAAGGTGTTGTTGTTGTGGGTTAGGGCGATTATAAACAACAACCATTCAAATCCCGCAACAGTGCCCGCAATGCATCTGCAATCTGAATTTGAATTTGAAGCTAAGTATATAAACGTCCGCAATGCCCGCAATGCTATCATTTGCGGCGAGATTGATCACAATCAAGGATTGCGCAATTTGTGCAAACCACTTTGGATTGAATTTCAAGGTCGCCTTGGTCATGTGTGAGCAATTATAATTTTTATTTTGGTATGCTTTTTATATGCAATAACGTTCCACCATAAATGTGAGGAGAAGAAATTTTGGTGCATTTTTAGGTTGTATCATATATATTCGTGCAAAAAATTAATGTACAAAAACAATACGTCAATAAATACGTCATTTGTTTTCAGCCCTTCTTCAAATAATATTTTACCTTTTCAAGCAACCTTAATGTTGCGGCGTATGATGCGCAAATATCTTCAACACGCAAAACGTATTTTTTTGTAAAAAAAAATCGGATTAGTTTGGGTGTTTGGGGTAAGTTAGAGGTTATATATTGGGATTAAGAATGTTTTAGTCTCAACTCTCAACCAATATCATTCCTTGTAGGACTTCACTTTTGATCAAATGGTGTATTTGTTTGCTGGGATTGAGTCCATTGCATGCAGGATTGGGATCCTGATTCCTGAGCTCTGTTCGCCTCCCGTTTATTTATCAGCTCAGCAGGCTGCGAGCATGCTGAGTGCTACTTCTTGGCTCATCATTGGTCGAATTCAAGTGGTCTATTCATTAGACTAATGAGAGGCCAAGAAGCGCCAGCAATAACTTCCTTATATGGGGAAAACCGACAGCATGCTGATATAAAAACATCGAGCGAACAGGGCCCTGGTCAATCAAATGTTTTTTTACCATTATCAACCCCGCGTTCGATGTCTCTCGGACGACAAAGATTCTATGCCGTCTGGCCAATCCCATTCAAGGTCAGTGGGGGCTCGGATGCGGTTATGGAACGTGATAGGGCGGACGACATAGAATCTTTGTCGTCCAGGAGACATCAAACACGGGGCAAGAAAGTGCCAGTTAGGAAAGCATTTGGTAGGTGAGAGAAAGCAATTAAGTGTATTGGACAGGTTTAGACTGCTTAGGAATGTTATTAATATCAGCAACCAGCGCAACAGTAGAAAGTGGTTCTGAAACAGCAGAAAAGTAAAAAGTGGGCCGTAAGAGCTTGATTGTCTGGATTTTGGCACTCCTGCTCAAACTATTGCTTGAACAATGCTCTGACCTGTTCAAGGCAGGCAATACAGTAGGTACTAGGTGTTGTGTTGCAACTGCATGTTTCCTGTGCATGTCCAGCAACCTGGACCAGTGTGATGCCACTGCAGTGTACTGTGAGCATTTGCAGGAGCTTAAATGGTATTTGTGAAGTGATATTGGAGACTGGAGATGGAAATTAAATCTGACTCATGATGGTGTACCTCATTCTCACAAGAATTCCCCGCCTTAGCCTGTGCACAGCTAAATTGTCAGCAATCAATATTTTTTTTTTTAATTGAGAAGGTGATTCATGATATTATGTACAATTTATTTCTATGATTTACTGATTTATCTCAGCTTTGTAGTGTTTTTTCTTCTATATCCACTGATATACCGGGAGTTCCTAAATAAACAGTCTAATTATTTTTGCCTCTAGTGGCGTCAACTAACAAAATCACAACAATCAAATTGCACGTGATGATAGCACGTGCAATGCCATTTTATTTCATACCAAAATCAATCACTTTCTATCATGCAGCCGTATAGTACAGACATAAAAACAAAAATAGTACATTTCTATTTTGAGACAAAGTCAATCGTTGCAACACAACGTAAGCTACGCCGACACGTAAAAAGGACCCAAGTGCCATCAAGAACCGTCATTTTAAGTATAGTTGAGAAGTTTTTGGCAAGAGGTAGTGTGGAGAACGTAAAAAAGGGTAAATGTGGCCGAAAAAGAACCAAGAGGACGCCTCTAAACGCCCAAAAGGCACGAGAAGCTCTCCAGAGGAGCCCACAAAAGTCACTCAGACGGCTGGGCCAGGAACTGGGCTGTAGCAAAACCACTGCTCACCGTTTGGCCAGAAACGACGTTCAGCTGTTCCCGTATAAGGTCTCCGTTCACCAAGCACTGTCGAAAGTCGACAAACAGTCACGGCTTCTTTACAGCGGCTAGTTTTTGAGAAATTGCGAGCAGGACAATGAGTTCATTCACCGAATCTGGTTCAGCGACGAGGCCCATTTTCATATGGATGGCCGCGTGAACTCCCAGAATTTTCGATTCTGGTCGACGGAGCCACCCGATTTGGTCGCGGAAGCCCCTCTGCACAGTGTGAAGTGCACAGCCTGGTGTGCAATGAGCAGCAGTGGCATTATCGGGCCTTTCTGGTTTGAGAACGACGCTGGGGAGTCTGTCACCGTCAACGCTCAGCGCTATCGGCAAGTCCTAGCCAAGTTCTGGACTGCGCTGAACAGGCGGCTGGGTGGAGACAGGCAGCTGTTGGACCAACAATGGTTCCAACAAGACGGAGCCTCGGCGCACACGGCCGTTGCGACTCGAGAATGGCTGCGGAACCGATTCGGTTCGCGGGTTATCTCCCGCAGAGAGGTGCGGTCCTGGCCCCCGCACTCTCCGGATCTGACCCCACTTGACTTCTTTCTCTGGGGTCACCTGAAGTCACAGGTCTACAAAAGCAACCCCAGAACCACAGATGACCTCAAGAGGGCCGTGTCGTCCGCGGTGCGCCGAGTGCGGCCGGAGATCTGCCGGGCTGCGGTGGAGTCCGCTCGGCGACGCGCAGAGCTGTGTGTGGAGCGAGAGGGGGCTCATCTGGAACACGTCCTCTGTGGCCGCAAATGAAAAGATAGCAAAAAGAAGATGGTATCACGTCAAATGGCATCGACTATTGTGTATGTTAGAAAGTGATTCGTTTTTGTCATGCCTTCCATGCTGATAATATACAGCTTTTAAATACCGTAAACTGGGGTGGCTTTGAACTTCCGGGTGACTTTGAACGCCGTTCACTTCTTAGAGGGAATCACAAATATCTTAAAAATGTGAATTATATATGCAGCAATATTTTTTTACAGATAAGAATGCACATTTTTGAAAATGTACATGACATATTGGAAGATATGTACCTTAGTACATAGGAGTAAAAAATCAAAAACTAAATCAATGTTTTTAGCTTTTTGAGATATGCCCGTAAACTTCGATATGGCATGGACTAGTCATTATGGTTATGGAATGGAATGACATATTTTTGCCATCCTCGATGGTTGGCCTACATTGCCCCATCATAATTTTTTAGCTTGCTTGAGCATGGCCAATGCTGTGAAGGGATTTGTAAAAGCATGACATTTTTGGAATTTCGCTGGGGTGACTTTGAACGTGTTCAATGTAGCCCCGGTGACATGCATGCCTGACTTGTTGTTCAAAAGACTTGTTGTTCAAAGTAGCCCTACCAAAATACACTGCATACATTGTAACAGTGATCGTAACAGGGTGTAACATTGTAACACCCTGTTACATTGTAACAGGGTGTAACAGAGATCGACCAGCTGGTGTGCAAGCTAACCCAGCCTGACATGGACAGGAGGGGCAGGCTCCACTTCAGGAGTGAGGAGCTCTCACCATACAAACTGATGCTGGGGTAAACTCATGACTGACTTTCTGACGCTAGCAGGTGTACCTAGTGTTAAGTGTTAGTATTAAGGTGTTAAGTCGGGTGTCAAGTGTTAACTGTGTCCAAGGATACTCTGTACTCAGGTGTTCTCAGGTGTATTTCATGCACAGACCTAGTCGAGTGCATGCATTACACTTGAGTTGAGTTGAATCGAGTGATTTCATATCCTGTGAGTGTTGCTCCACTGCAGTGCCTATGCAAGTGTTAAGGTGAGTAAGTAAGGTGTTTGCCATGAAAGATGCTTCTTTTTACTCACTGTCTGTGTGCTAATTTCTGTGAATATGGTGTTTGATTCATCAGCAGAGGCTGCTACAAGAAGTTGTGTTTTTTGCTTGATGAGCTCGCCTTGTTTTGACTACTACCGCCAGGAGGACTTTTGCAGGCATAAATTGTTTTTGGCCTCTTTTTTAAAAAGCATCAGGGTGTTCAAAGCCACCCCAACCGGCACGAGGAATTGCACACCTAATGAGATAAATGATGAAAAACACAGACTGTTCAAAGTCACCCCATGGCATGGTGACTTTGAACACCCGACATTTTTTTTTTTAAATAGGGAAATGGCTATACCTAATTTTTTGTTGACACCATGGATGGATAAGGCCAGACTCAGCCCACAAAATAGTCCATGTTTCAGATTTCTATCTACAGTAGTTTTCAAGATATTCACTGATAAGTCTCAAAACTGTCCAAAGTCGCCCCATTTTACGGTACGACTGTTTATTTAGGAACTCCCGGTAGAAGAAATAGAACATTACAACATGAAAAGATTGGTATTCACAATGCAAAATTGTGATTGTGCCCTGTTTCATTTGCTTCCTTTAATCTAATCAGATAAGATGTGCTGTTTTTCTAGCTTAGCAGTTGTTGCAGAGAATGAAAAAATGTTTGAGGCATGCCTCCCACTTGACTAACCCTAACATTTTTGTCTGTTTTCAGTGTGCTGGACTGAAGCAGCCCAAAGCTGAAGATGAGCAGCCCTGAGGAGCCTGTGGTGGATGCTGCGGCCACCACACCAGATCAGCCTCCACCAGCTGCAGAGGTGCCTCACACTGACCCTGTCACCGCCGGGGTCAGACCCTCCTCGCCGGAGCTGCAGGGCTCTCCGTCTGCCGACCTGCCAACTGGTGGTGCTGAGACCATGGTGGGCAGTCCAAAGGAGGACGTCCGGGCGGCCGAACCCACTTCAGACACCTCCCTGCCAGCCGAACCCACCTCCGCTGCTGCCAGTCCGTCACCGGACACAGCAGCGCAAAAACGACCCGCTCCGCCGGCGGCCGCCGCTCTGGATACGTTCAAACGACCTCTGGCAGCGGCGCCCAAACGAAAACGCTTCAGAAAGACTGTGTTGGACGAGGATAACTTTATCCGTGAGCTGGAGGGTATCGTGGAGCGGGACTTCTTCCCGGACATGCGCCGTTTGCGCGCGCAGAATGACTACCTGTCGGCGGCGCAGAGCGGCGACACGGTGCGTCTGCACGAGCTGCGCCAGCGGTACGGCTCCGAGGTGCCGCGCCGGCCCGACACGGCCGCCTCTTGGTCCACGGACCCAGTCGGCACGCCCAGTCACTTCGACACGCCGCGGCCGGGCGACACGCCGGGCAGCTCAGCGGCGTCAGAGGCCGGCCTGGAGGACGACCCGGCCAAGCCGCTGTCGCTGAACCAGTACCTGGCCACGCACACCAGTGAGGATGACGAGAGTTTCAGCGACATGATGTCGGAGGCGCGGCGGCGGCACCGGGTGCGCCACCCGTGGTTTTACGAGGCCGAGGCGGCGCACAACGACCGGCAGGAGAAGCTGCTGGAGCTGGAGCTGCCCTCGGTGGAGGAGCAGGCCGGAGGCGGCCAGCGGCCCGGACAGGTCGCTACCTGGAAATACACGTCCGAGAACGACCTCATGTACGTGCCGCGCGGCCTGGCGCTCACCGCGGCGGAGAAGATCGAACGGGCCAAGCACGGCCAGGAGATTCGGACAGAGAACACGCGCTTCCAGGTGACTCCTTTCAATGAAGGCCAACAACGCGAGGTGCTCAATCGTGTGGCACAGACTCAATCTCGCCGGAAGGGTGGCAAAATTGACGTGGACGGTCGTGAGCACGTTGAGCCGACTCGGCGGGGTCTGGTGCGGACCCCGTCACCTGCCCCTGGTGTGGACCAGTCTCCGCTGATGACCTGGGGTCAGATCGACGGCACGCCGTTCCGACTGGACGGTGGAGACACTCCAGCGGCGGCCTCCGCGCCCGCCACGCCCTCCTTCCGAATTCTCGAGGCGTCTAAACGAGAGAAGCTGGCACACGAGCTGGCCGAGCGTGCCTCCTCGCGCCATCGCGACAAAAAGGCGCGCGCGCTGGAGACGGCGCGTCGCCAGGCGCAGGCCGTGTCGCCGGCGCTCTCGGACAGGCTGGCTGGCATGTCGCCGGCGGCGCGCAGGCTGGCCAAAGTCGGCCGGACCACGGACAAGGCGCTGCGGGCGTCCTACACGCCCAGCCCGGCGCGGCGGGCGGCGAGGTCCACCCCGGCCACCCCGACCCCGGCCGGCGTGCGACTCACCCCCGCCTCTACACCGACTGGGCTGTCAGGGAAGGCGAGTATCACAGACGACCTGCTGCAGCTGCCGACCCGGCCCCGGGCCGCGGACTTCTTCACGTCATGAGAAGGACGTGAGTCACTCTGGGGTGCACTGCTGTACTGTGTTATGTACTGTGCTGGATGGGAAGGTCTGTGAGGACTTTGTGTAAGATCTTTCAATGGCGCCGGTTTTAGAAGTCAAACGATAGGTGGTTTGAGAGCTGGTGGGTGTGATTTAGTGGAAAGCCGCTCGTCTGTTTTGTCGATTGTGAGTTCAGGGACGCCGTTCAAGGCAGGAGCACCAACTGGTACGAGTAGGACACAGAGCGTCATCTCTCCTTGAGGGCTAGGTGGTCGAACCTAAACCTTGTCTAGGTGGCGCTCATGTAGCGTTGTGACTGCATTCTATCCTCCGGTTCCAATTGAGGGTTTCTGAAGCACTTGTGAATTGTGATGACGCATTGAGTGTTTTTGTATTTTATGTACATATGTGGTGTATCATATCATTTTGATATGCCGATCTGTTGATCTGTGCAAAGATCACGGAACACATGGTCGATCCCTATGAATGAGGTCCAACTAAGGCTGGTACAAGAACACCCAGCGATTAGTGCGTAGCATGTTTCCGTTTAATTGTCGATCATCCACGTAAACAACACTGTATTGCATTACTTTGTCACGGTGAGTCGAATGGAATACATTCGAAAAGTACCCAACCTTCGGACTGTTTCGTAGCCTTCTTTTACGAGATAGAGACCGCAATCACGATTCACGGTCCGGTACGGTCTGCTGGAGTCGGAAAATGTTCGTTCGACTCAGAAAACAATATTTTCATGTAAGAATAAGAATGTACGCAGCCATACTGGTTGACTCTTGCTATTCTATTCTATTCTTATTCTATTCTATTTTATGAACTGACTCGTGAGAATGTGTTGAAGCGGCCGTGTTATATCGCCACCAACTCGCGTACCCTCTCCCTTCCCTTTCCCCTCGTTCCGCCCGGTCTCGTCAACAGGGCTCGGATTTCGCGCTGTCGTCTGGGGTCTCCCAGCCTACCGCTACTGAGCCTGCCCCTCCCCTCCCCGCTCACAGGGGACCGTCCTTCAGTCTGTGGGGCGCGTCGGCCCGCTTTTCACCCGGGTCGGCCCGCATTGGGGGCGGGGCGTCGGGAGGGAGGAGGGGGGAGTTCCAGCTGTCGCCGGGTGGGGGGTATCTGCCGCGCGGTGGGGGAGAGAGCACTACTGTCGTACAGTGGTCCACGGTCGACGCATGCGGCGGGACGCGTGGGGTCGCAGACGGCTGTGGGAGACGCTGCAGTGAGACGGTTTGGCTGAGGACGGTTTGAAGATTGGATTGTTCATTTGTGTGTGGTGTAGAGCGCTTACAGCGGGTTTCTTACTTCACTGCCGACTAGTGTTGGTGTCGATCTCTGTGGCTCGTCTCTGTGATACCTCCCAGAACCCACTAACCGCCAAGCCACGCGGCTCGACCTCCCACCGTTCGCCGAGCGGTCGGGCCTTGGAGCGTCCCGTCGTCTCCGACGGCCGTCGGTACCGGCGGTCGGCGCGTGCGCGGCCTACCTGCCCTCTGGTGCGCGGCTATTTTTAATCGCTCGCGCTCGGCGTCTTCTGGCTGAGAAGTTGGCCGCCATGGTTGTCCGCGAGCCGCTCGCCGTGGGGAGAGGAGAGCCGCTGCTGGTCCGGGGAGCGACTCCGATCGACATGACAGGTAAGACAGAAATCATTCCAAGGCCATCTATAGAATCATTCAGCTCACACACTCTGCAATGTGATGGAAAATGTGCCTCTCATTGATTTGCTACAGTTGGTTTGGCTCGAAAAATGCATCTGTAAGAAGTATCCGTTGCTCACTCAACGGTATTTGTGCGATTTCCATGAACACTTACGGAAAGCCGCCAAAAATGGGGGGGGGGGAGGGCGTGCTTTCCGTGACATCCCGAACGTATATTTATCGGAATTAGAATAGGTGACTCAGCAGGGAAATAAACCGCATTATTTGTCGCCGCTTATGGCAGGGTCACAATGGCATCATGAGCTAATTAATCCGGGGTCAGAGTGTTTTGTTGTTCGTTCATTACGTCGCCCAAATAAGTTCATACATTGTTTTTACGCCTTTGATCCGCGCCTAGCCTGGGTCCGTTTCAGATAAATGAGTCTCCTTGGGTAAGGGGGCAAATTCTGCCTTGGCTGCACGCCCTTGAGTGGTTCACTGCGGCCATCTGCCTTATAGTCACATCAACACCATTTTAATTGGAACAAGAACCCATCTTTTATCGGCAATCACCCCAACAGACCCTGCTTCCGACAACGTAACCTCCTAATTGCCCCCCCCCCCCTCCCGAACTGCTCCCTTTCCGGCGTGCCCAGCGGAAGTTCCCCGAGTAGCGCCCCGCCTGTGATCAGCTGCGGCCAGCTCCGATCGGCCGCACGCGGACCCTCCCCCCCCCCTTCTCTGATCGGGGAGCACCTGGCCGCCGCACGGGCCTTTGTAATCCGCGGCAGCTGGTAACACAGGGGCGGTCCGCCGCCCCACTGGGGATGGGGTGGGGCGGGGATGGACGGCTCTGTTTGCCCATAGGACACCATAGGAATGGGGAAGGTCACTGGCCTGGGAGGGATTAGGGTCGCATGGAGGACCACTTGGTGGGATTCTTTAGGGCGTATTTGCTCAGTACGGTGAAATTCGATTTTGAAGCTTGTCAGTTCAATTCAATGTGCGTAGATGAGGTCATTTTCATGACATCAATGGATTGGTCTGGAATGCGTTCAATGAGACGTTTTTTACACAAAGCTACGTGACCGTTTGTGTCTTCGCTAGCGAATGAGCCGAGAGCACACGAAAAATGTGTGTGATTCATCGTCTACGCCGACCCACCGTTTTCCGTCAGTCAGTGACAGCTCTCTTCAACTCCTCTCGCCCTACCGAGCACTTCCGTTGAACCGTCCCGACTCCCTGCACCCTGCCTCGGGTCTGTGATAAATATAGCCAGCTGCTGGTATACAGGGGCTTCTCAGGCGGCCAGGCCCACCCCTCCCCTTTCTCCCGTTTCCTCACACAGCCAAAAGTTCACATACTGGGCCGGTACGGTTCCTCAAACCATGCATAAACATAAACACGCGCGTAACGCACCGAGCTGGGAACCTAGCAACGACAAGCTCTGTGGTTCGCGGGCTGGCTGGCACGTAGCTGCACTAGTCAGGGCCTAGTGCCGATGAAAGGTAGAGGGCTAAAGGGTCAGAGGCTAGGACAGTATGCTCTGATGGGAGGGAAGGGGGGCTAGCCTGAGACTGAGGCCTTGCAGGAGGCTACGGCCATTTTTATCACTCACCCCTCCCCTGCTCCTCCTGGCAGAGGTAGCAGCAGAGGCGGCAGCCGGGGACAACACTCCACCGAGCTGTGTATCACCGGCCGCCCGAGACAGCGACGGCGGGCTGACCTCGCCGGGGTCAGAGGTCAGCTCGGGGTCACCGAAGACGGTCCCGGACTCGCCGACCGATCAGCAGGGGTCACCGCAGAAACGTGAGTGGATGGTCTGTGGAGGATATAGCTCGGACACTGGGATTGTATCAGACAAACCACAGAACATCTCACTTTGTCGCACCTAACAATCGAAATCCACGTCATAAAAACCGAAAGCGAGACAAACATCACTCAATCACTCCCGTTTTGACTCACCAACAGGTTCGTCAATCAACAGTTTCAGTTTTGGACGACTAACAGACGCCAACACATCAATACCGTTCCGACACTATCGGGGTACTTCTTCCGGCTGCCGCCTGTTCCTCACCGAACTATGACCTTAATCGAGCCGTACTCGTTTCAAATCTTACCTGTCTGGTGTCCACCTCTTGTTCAGCTCTATCTGGTTCCGTTGTCCGGCTCTATTACCCCACCACAGCCCCACAGAGCCTCCCACCAGTTGACACTAATAACACACCACCGAGTCCCGGACTGACTAGCAGCGACCGGCTGGAGTCCAGGGCTTTATTCCCGCTCAGCTGACCCGAACTGACGTCCAGTGGACCCACTCATTGGGATAGATCATAGATGGAGGCCATGAATTGACCACCCACAGTTCACGCTGATATAGTTCGGCATAAAAGGCGGGAGCTTTGGTGACAGCGGTGGTAGTGACAGAAGTAGACTGGTGACAACATCAGTGACAGCTGGACGAGATGATTGCAGGGATGGAAGTAACAGTAATGGGTGGTAACACGATAATAATGGTATACGGCGAGCACCAACATACCTATATCATGTATGAAGTAGACCACTGACCAGTGACCACCGACAAATGCACTGATAAGAACATTGTAGCGGTGATCACAAAGCATGGTAGATGGGAGCACGATAGGACACTGTGGGAAGATACTCAAGACTGGGACTGATGCACGATCGAGAGGACATCGGACAAGTAGGGTAACTGTGATGACCGTGTCCTGGCTTCAGGAGAGCAGCATGCTATACGAGTATATGTACTGTCGCTTTGTTGATGACCTGCTGTGCATTGACGGCTTGCTCACAAGTCCTTGATACACATCACATTCACCCATCACTATACCCAGTGGAGTTCACCAATGGTTTACATAGCATTGAGTTCACCATTTCCTGCACCGTGCTCGCCCATTTCCACCGATGACGTCATTTGTGTCCCCCGCGTGTCCCCAGAGCCGCGTGTCATTATGTCCGCGTCGTGTCCCCAGAGCCGGTGCCGCGCGGCTACATCCCTCCGGCGCTGCAGAACTGTCTGCGCTGTGACGCCTGCTCCTGTATCTACCTGGACGAGCTCGACTACTACAAACACGTGCGAAACTACCACTCGTCGACGTCACAGAGGCGGTACAGGTGAGGCCGGGGCGTCCCCTGGAGCTCGTCCTGGCTCTAGCCATCCTCAGTTGTTCCATCCTCAGTGGTTCGTGGAGGCGCAGGCAAAGTGCACATAACGGACTGTTCAGATTGCTGCACATATTTATTTTAATGTGATCATAACGTCACGTTCGATCATGCTGTCATCAATGGACATGAATTGTGTGTCGAATACGGTGTTGCCCAATAGTTGAACGGAGAAAGCTATATTGCAGTGCCTGTAAAAGCGTCACTGACATCCTCTCGTCAATCCATCCACAGGAAATCGGGCCAGTGTCGGACGTGCGTGTTCACCAAGATCGAGCCGGACCCGGCTCCTACCCTGAAGGCGGCGCAGCCGAACCACCGGCGCTCCAACAGCCCCGTCAAAATAAACGTCCTGCAGAATAACGTCAAGGTGAGCTGGCAGGAGCTCCTTCTTCACTAGAAACACGAACTAGTAAGTTATATATACCTGGGGTGGACAGACCGAACAAGCACCCTCCTACCCCTCAACTTCGCAAGTCATTCGCCGGTAACGCTGTATGTTGGACCTGTAAATTGGGTCGCGATATGGAAACCTTATGGATGTCGGTCGTCGGGACTCTCCCGTCTTTTTTTCCTGGAGCTCGCTCGCGCCGCCAGTCCGTCGCGTCGGACCCGATGCGTCGGTGTCGACTCGCCAAGCGCCGGGCTCGAAACATAAACAGGACCAGGTGCAGACCAGGCGGAGATACACAGACCGAGCGCGCCAGTAGCGCCGCTGGAGCGCCACTTTTAGTCGCCAGGAGACGAGAGACAGCCGGCGGTGCGGCGGGATTGTCTTCAGCGCGGCGGGTGGGGCGCGGGGAACGACGGGACGCCGGACAGACGGACAGGGCACACCTGCTCGGGGGGAGGGGAGAACGGAGCCAGTAGACATTCGGTGACAATAGGCGACACCGAATATGGTCGTACATCTTGCATTGTCGCGCGTATCAATCGCGTGCGTCAATTTTTTTTTTTTTTGTAAAATGAACGCTCTGTCTGAAAAGAGCGATTATACTGATAAAATATCACACAAGCACAACCCTGTGTCCACTGACCAGAGCTTATGTCTTGCGTCGTCTGTTGCCTTGAACGATTCGTAGTTACGTGTCTGCCGCAGTACGTTTTCTAACGACCTCCCTCTGCCCTTTCCGCAGAGCCGCTGGAGCCGGATGTTCGGCAGCCGACTCCGGAGCCAGATGACCCCACTCAGCACCAACCTGAGGGCCATCGACCCCAGCCGCGTGCCTCTAAAGAGCAAGGTCAAAATGCAGGCTGGTCTGCAGCCGTTCGTCGTCAGGGAGCTGGACGCCAAAATGCAGGAGATGAAACAACAGCGCGCAGCTGGCAGTGAGAAGGTTGATTCTCCCGGCGAGCTGTGCGGTGGCGATGAGAGCGACACCTATAGTGGCGACTGTGGCGCCGCAATGCAAGTGAAGGAGGAACCAAGGGACCAGGACGAGTGCGTTGAGCTGTTGCAACAGGTGGAGGTGCGAATCAAAACCGAGCCCGAGGAGACGGACGCGTGACCTCGAGCAAGTGAAATGTGTTCCTTCCCGTGCGTGCCTTCGTGTGTTGTTAGCGTTTGAAGGACATTGTTAGATGGTGGACAAATCGCTGAGACACCCTATTCGTCCAGCGTCTCTGTCAGTAGCAAATATGCTAAACATCGTGGGACAGCCAGTGTCGGCTTGTTACCAAGCATGATATTCTAGTCACTAGTCAAAGTTGTTTGTAAACTGATCTTAAATGCCTTTTCCTGTGTGCATGTTCTGTTAGCGTAAGTTATTGAAGAACACAATCGTAAATGCGTAGAAACAACTGGTAAAGATATTTCATTTTCGAATGTTGATTTCTCAATAATACGGACACCGAGCTCAAGCTGTTCAGGACGAGCCGCATCTTGAAACAATGCAATATTTGTTTCTTGGTTAAAAATAAAATTCGGTTACGGAGGTCAGCATAATCCGAAAAAGAACCGACGTAAGTCGAAGGATTCGACGGAAGCTGTTATAACCATCATTCGGTTATTTGTAGGCGAAAAATTCGTGGAGAACCTATTACTATGGCCGCAGGCCAGATTGTTCGCTTATTGCACTGAAAGATACAATCTTGAAGGCTTTGCGGTTATTCGTACCATAATTCTAGCAAAATAGGCGTTACGATCGTGAATAGTCAGGTTCCATTATCACTATAACATATCATGCTTTCTTTTTAAGTACTCATATCAGTGTTTTGGAAAAGCCACATGGTGGAAACTTCTGAATCAATCTTCACTTTTTGACCACGCATGCTGCTATCCAATAGTCGACCTAACAATGTAAAGGCAAAATTTTAGACATCACTTGAACACATAAACCCTAGATGAGAACCATTCACGAGTTCCTGGTTGGAAAAAGCGCCGTTTAAGAAGAGCGAGATCTCATCAACCGCACAGCGCAGCATCACTCACATCCCACCTTTCCACAAGCACCACACAAACTAAGCACATTCTCCAGTCGCCAGCCCACACCAAACACATTCTTCACTCACCAGCCAAAAATCACACACCCAACAAAACAGGCTTCTCCTGACAGACCGGTAAGCGAGCTTTCCACACTTACAGCGACAGGTTCTTCACAATGACGATGATGATGATGGGTATGACTCCGACTCCGACAACAAACAAAACACGCATGAGAGTCACGCGAGGCGCGGCAACGATATCCCGACCCCGGGACTGTCAGTACCACCTTATCCCGGGGAAGTGATACACCACTATATCTTGGGAAGGAAGTATCAACGCTCGAAGCATCTTGCGAGCCATGGTGTACACAGTATCCCTTAGACTGTAACACACTGAAACTCCGGAGTAGTAATACCCATTGTGACTCGTCACATGGACTGTACTTTACACTGTGAACCAGTCCATGGACTGTGGCAGACACGATGAGGCCCCGAATACTGTGGATCTCACTGTGAGACCCAGGGAGGCGGTATATGCCGCTACTCAGCTGTGGTTGCCGCGGCGGCCGGCCGGCGCAGCAAATCTACGCGTCAGCATAGGCTGCCGCAAGGTGAGGGGCACCACAGCAGCAGAGGTGCCGCAGCTGGCAGCTCACGAGGCCCGCCGTTTGATACTGCATTTGCCTCGCTGTAGGTGTGACAGGTAGATGCGTGCTTTGCTGTTGTCGGCCGTCTTTCTCACCCAGACCTGGTGGGTAGATGGGCGGGGAGCTAAGTAAGAACCAGTTGCAAGGAAGGAACGTTTTGTACAGGCACAGACTGACAGCTCTCGCGACTCGCATACCAATGACTAAGCCGTTCCCCTTCAATCAGCTCGTATGTTTCAGACCACAACTTCAACATGCTTAAGTACTAACCGACCGCCAAAACGTACAAGTGACTCACAATTACTGACCGTATCCACAACTTATCACACTGAGTTAGCCGATACCTGCCGACGAAGATTGATTGCCGCACAGAGCTCTCACGCACTAGTCAGCATTTTGAAACCGGAGGACGGCAAATAATATCCATCCTCTGAGTAATTACGGTGAGAGCAGCTAACACACGCCAGACGTACCGCGTCGGCGGAGATGGCCGATATAACGGCGCTGTAGCGGCTGTTGTCGCGCGACTCCACGTATACCGGCTGTCCGCGGTGGAACCACTTGCGCTCCAGGAACAGTTTGTTGTCCTCGATGCGGATCTCGCTGTTGACGGCCGCGGCCGCCGGGGAGACGGAAGACTCCGGCATAAAACCTGCGGACGAGAGGGAGACGCTGATGACCGAGCTTCGGAGAAGGGCGGACGATACAAAGTTTCTGAGGGTGCATTTGCACCCAGTCCACGCGATCCTCGGCTAGCCCAGAGATATCTCGTATCTGACTAGTGAGGAAGCTACCTCTGCACTCTAAGGCATTAAAATGCATTATCAACGGCCTGTGTGCATTGTGCAAGAATGCTGCAATGCGGGAAAGATCACCACTACCCGACTCCCAAAGTTCTACAAAGTTCGTGCCCACACTAATCCAACTATACTCACTGGACTTCTTAGCGGGCTGCTGGGTGGGCAGCTTGCCCTTGGCGATGAGTCGGAGGTCGTCCTCCATCTGCTTCTCGTCTAGCTGGAAGTTGAGCTGGTTGGAGACGGGCTTGCGTCGCTTCTCCTGTGCCGGCACCGGGTCGTTGGGCCGCCGGCGCAGTTTACGGGTCGGTGGCGGCTTCATCTGCGCAGTCAAGGAAAACGGGCCGGGTTAGTCACGGTGTGGTGAACCCGTGGTTAGCGGTGTAAGAAGAGGAACTTCCTGAGCTACCATCCTTGGACAGGACAGATCGGGATCGGAGGATATCGGATCGGAGTGGACGACACTGTTCGCTCGGTAGATGATGTTAAAATGAAAAAAAAAATATGACGCATGATATTAACTTATCACATAAAGTTTAAGATATATCAACGAACATCTTTACCTGTCGCGTTTCAGCTATCCCAATAGCTACGTCCAGAATGTCGCCTCTAATTGCCATGCTCTACTGTTCCATCGATCTCCAAACTCACGTCCATACTATCTCCCAACTCACATTAATACTGTCCATCTTATACCAAAACTCACGTCCATACTGTCTCCGGTGATCTCCATGCTCGCTCGCTCCATCTCGACCAGTCGTCTCTTATCCTCCAGTTCCGCGATCAGCGACTCCCGCAGCTCGGTCCGCCGCTCCTCCAGCTCCCGCGTCAGCGCGCGCCGGTCCCGCTCGCACTCTGACTCGAACAGCTTCCGCTCGTAGTTGAACCAGAGCTCCGTCAGCCGGATCCTGGTGCAGTGAGAGTGGTAAAAAAGGTGAGACGGGAAATGAGGTGGTATTTTACGCACAGCAGTGACTGAATGACGTTCCAAACTTAGCTGCTCAATCTTACTTATGTAGGAACAAATTTGCTGACCTGGATAATGCATTATTGTTTGTATTATGATTTCCATAATATGCTTTAGTTTGAGATCAACTGCTACACTCTAAATCGACAGAAAAAAAAACAGCTACGATCTATTGAGCGGGTATCAAAGGTCCGAGTATGTCAGTGAGTTCAGCACTGACCGTTCCTTGTGCTGGTTATCAAGGCGTTTCAGTTTCTTGTTGTACTCGGGGTGTGTTCCCTCTGCCAGCTGCTGCAGCTGGGCCTTCAGGTTGGCCAGTTTGTCCAGATAGATCCTGTGTGAGATGAGATAAGCATCATCACACCACATCAATTTTGTGACACTCATCCAGTTTTCTTTCTAAAGCAGACTCTCATCCGTCATTCATCCATCCTCCATGTTAGCTCACCTCTCCTTGATCTCCGTGATCTCGCCCTCTGGCCGGTGCTGTGACTCTGTCTCGCTGGCGTCGTCCGTGTCCTCATCATTGGAGCCCACTGGCTGTCCGTCCCCGTCGCCCTCGTCACTCTGGTCGTCCATGTCACAGTCCTCCACGTGGGAGGACAGGAACGGCGAGCGTGGAGATGCCATCACAGCCTGCCGGCACAAAGGGGTTTTGTTATGATACACCCTCTGAGGGATGAAAGTTGTTCATTGGCAGACTGCAGGATAGAGCTGCATGGCAAACCAGTGCTGAGCACTGAGCCACAGCAGGCTGCACTGACAGCCTAGGACCTGGAAATCCACAGGCTAATAATCACAATGCTGAAATGAGAATGCAATGCATTTAAAATGTTCAAAATTAATAGCCAGTGGCTAATATCCCACTGCTGGCTAGAAATTCAAGCAAAGCATTTTCAATTGTTAAATAGATATTGTCGGTGCTGAGGCAGCAAACCTTGATTATATTGAGTTATGGCGCGCGCAGCACAGCTTGGTTGAGAGACGCGACGGGAATGACAAGCGCAAGGGCGACGCGAGCGGAACCCTAAAATAAATAATCTTTATTATAGCTGTTCAGGCGAGAGAGGCCTCCGGTTATTATTTTCAAGTTGCCAGGCAATTTTGCGGAAAAATGAAGCTTCTGCATGACTTTAGCGACGTGTTGCCTAGCAACGACTGATTGGTTCAGATTTTGAATACAAAGTTTGTCACAGCTGCGCAGTTTCTTCAATTTGTGGAATAATTTGAGGGCGAGCCGTTGCAAAGGCAAATCCTCTAAACCATCATCGACACGTTTGAGGTAAATGCTGTATTTGTTCAGTTTATTTTTAAAATAAATTATTTTGAGTTGATAACATAAAATTAAGTGTGTGGAAATTGACGTTTTCAACTTTCATTGATGCTTTGAATAGGTATAGGTATAGGTATATAGATAATGGACTTGGGGTAGCAGTATGCTATTTGTTGTCCATGTCATTGTTGGCAAGGAAACATGTCAGGGTACTCATTGAGGTTGGAGGTCACAGGTCACAGTTGGCTTTGAGCTGGAGGTGCTTATCTAGCTTAGCTTTAAATGTAGCAGTGGTGTCAGCAGACACAACATCATCTGGTAGCTTGTTCCAGTCATTAGCCACCCTCTGTGAGAAGAACCTTTGTCTGGCTTGATGGACTGACTGCTCCTTGTGTAATTTCATATGGTGACCTCTTGTGTTTGTCGTCCTCAGTTTGAAAAACTTCTCTCTCCTCACATTGAGCTTCCCTGACATGATTTTATACGTCTCAATCAAGTCGCCTCTTTTTATCCTGTCTTTAATAGATACGGTCTTCAGGACTTTTAGTCTTTCTTGGTATGGCCTGTGCTTTAACCCCCTCACCAATCTTGTAGCTCTGCGCTGGATGTTTTCGAGGAGACTGATATCTTGAACAGCTTGGGGACCCACAGCTTGTATACAGTAGTCCAGGTGTGGTCTCACATATGAGTTGAAGAGGCTGGTGAAGTTTGTTGCTGTGATTTGGTCAAAGGACCTCTTTATCATTCGGAGAGCTACCATTGCTTTGCTCGCAGCTCTTTGACAGTGACTAGTAGGTCGAAGGTCGTTTGTTATAGTCACCCCCAGGTCTCGCTCCTTATCTGTGACTTCTAGTTTGACTCCTCTAATACTGTAAGATCTTTTTGGGTTATGTGGTCCACAGTGCATCACTTTACACTTTTGGGGGTTGAATTCAAGAAGCCATTGTTCAGTCCATTGCGAGAGTCTATCTAGGTCTGCCTGAAGTTGTTCTGAGTCCTCTGAATTTCTGACCTTGCGATAAATCTTCATGTCATCTGCAAACAGTTTTGCGTCGCACTGGACCAATGTGGGCAATTCGTTGACATATATCACAAACAGGATGGGTCCCAATACTGAGCCCTGCGGAACTCCGCTGGTCACAGCCTCTTCTCTAGATTCTTGGTCATGAACTACTACCTTCTGAGTCCTGTCCTGAAGAAAGTTTGTGATCCATTGAAGCACTCCTGCTTTGACACCATAGGCAGCCAGCTTCTTAACAAGTCTTCGGTGGGGCACAGAATCAAAGGCCTTTTTAAAGTCACAATAGATGATGTCCAGTCCACTGCTGCTGTCCAGTATGTGTGTCCAATCCTCCAGAGCCTCTAGAAGATTGGTCAAACATGATTTTCTGGGTACAAAGCCATGCTGTTCTTTGCAGATGAGATCTTTCTCTAATAGATGGTTGAGCAGGTGCCTTTTGATAATTCTTTCCATGACCTTACATGCATGACTAGTCAGACTCACAGGCCTGTAGTTACTTGCCAGTTTTTTGGAGCCTCCCTTGAAGAGTGGTACCACTGCTGCTCTCTTCCAAGCTGTTGGTAGCTGTCCGCTTGTCATGGACTTTTGGAATATCTGCATGAGTGGGTATGCTAGCTCAGGTGCACAGTTTTTCAAGAGAAAGGGGGAAACATCATCCGGTCCTGATGCCTTGTCTTCAGTCAACGTTTGAAGTTCATGGAGTACTTCCTGAAAAGTAATGTTAATATCCTCGAGTGATTCTCCTTCTTCCACCTGACTTTCAAAAGCTGGCAAAACACCGCCTTGTTCTTTTACAAAAACTGAGCAAAAGAATGTTTGTAGTTCATCTGCAATCTCTTTCTTTGTTGCTATCACAGTGCCATCAGGTTTGACTAGTTCCATCACTTTGTCTCTTGTTTTGCTTTGCAGTCTTACATATTTGGCTATCTTCTTTGGCATTATCTTAGCTGACCTTGCCAGCTCTTCCTCATACAACCTTCTTGTCTGCCGGATGTGACTCGTGGTCTCGTTTCTGATCCTGGTAAACTTCTTCAGATTCTCTGCTGTTTGTTCTTTTCTGTACTGCTTGTAGGCTTTATATTTACGCTTCACTTGCTTATCTAGTGCTTTATTCCACCACGGTGGTGACAGTTTTGTTTTTCTTCTGCCTTTGAATAGAGGAACATACTTCTTTCTGCAATCGTGTAACTTATCAACAAAGAATGTCCATGCTGCTTCAACATCCATGTTTTCTATCACATCCCACTGCACCTGTGCTAGCTCATGACGGATAGAATCATAGTTACCAGCTCTGTAATTGTATCTGAGTTGTTCCTTGGCCTCCCTGTTTTCAGAGTGTATTCTATAGTCCCATATTATCACACAGTGATCACTTTTTCCTATTGGAGCTTCATATTTGACTTCCTCAACATTGTTTTCCTGATTAGTGAGGATGAGGTCCAGGGTAGAGGGGGCTGTACCTGCTCTGTGCCTGGTGCTGGATTTCACATGCTGGGTTAAGTAACAGTCTTGTACTATGTTGTAAAACTGAGTGGCATCAGAGTTTGGTGGTCCTGAAATTGCACCAGTGTCCCAATCAATTTCTCTGTAATTAAAGTCTCCCATAACCAGGTAGTCTGTAGCACTAATTGTTTTCATTTTCTCTAGCAACTTCAGCAGTTCTTGATTATTTTCCCGATCACTGTTTGGTGGTCTGTAGCAGATGCCCACCACTATTGTGTTCCCAGGCCTTGTGTGAATTCTACACCATGCTGCTTCTTCAAAGTTTGAATTGTTCAAAATATCACACTCGCTGACCCTTAAATGATCTGCCACAAGAAGTAGAACACCTCCACCTTTACAACCATCAGGTCGGGACTTACTGGCTGCTACTTGATAGCCTTGAATGTGAATCTCATCCTTCTGCCACACTTCTGTCAGTCCTATAATGTCTGGCTTATGAATGTCCACCCTGTTCACAAACTCTTCCATCTTGTTTCCTAAGCTATTGACATTAGAGTAGAAGCATGACAAAACTTTGTTGAGAGTCACACTACTGTTCTCTTGGGACCACCTTGTTCTGAAAGATCCTGTGTGTCTCCTTGCCTTTTCTTTTGAGTTCGTCCCTCAGTTCTTTTTGCTTTGATCTTTCTTCTGGCGACAGATCCTTGGTGATGTACCTGTTCTTGAACCCTACATCTGTTAGTCTGAACCTCTTTTTGTACAGGTCCTCTAGTTGCTCTTTGTCTTTAAGTTTCACCAAAAGCAATCTCGGTTTGTCGGATGAAGTGTCTCTTCTGCCAAGACGGACCACGTCTAGCAAATCTATATGAGTGTCGTTGCCTCGCAGGGCCCTAGACATCTCTTGGATCCTTTCCTTGTCATATTCCTTCCTTACCTCTGTCTCGCTTGACTCTGACTCTGGCAGGTTGTGAATGATCAGGTTCATGTCCCTTTTCTCGTTGCTCGTTTGAACAGCTTTCTTTATCGTGTCCGAGCTCTGTAGGATAACCTTTTTCTGTTCGCTTAGTTTTTCTACTACTTTCTTCTCCATTTCATTTATTTTTTTCTCGATCCCTTTCTCTACAGTTTTCTCATCCTTGTCTTTGCCAATTGCTTCTATGACATTCTTTTCTACCTGCTCTACTCTAGAGATCACTTGTTGCAGTGAAACCGAGACCTTGAATTTCATTCTGCATGTTTCGCACACCCAGAAGAGGTCGTGTAGGTCGATGGCTTTAAAAGCCTCAACACTTAGGCCCTGACAGCTCGGGTGGAACCAGTCATTACAGCCTTCGCATTCTATAGAATCTTGTTTCTTCCCGATAGTTTTGCCACATGGTTTCCCAGTACTTCCTCTGCACTGGAATGCCTTACCTTTCTTTGATTTCTTTTTGCTTTGCACAGTCACAAACCCCTCCTCAGCACTTTCATTCCCGCCACTTTCATGTTCGCTTTCCTGGCCTTGAGACAATTGTGACGCAGGGGTCTCACGCGATGCAAGACCCTTTACCATTTTATGTCAGTTTCAAAAATGTTCTGACACTTGAAAACTTGCATGAACAAATTTCAATGCTAAGCTAGGCCTCCAAAAGTGGGAATAAAAGGAAAAAGCAGTTATTAAATGATCTAAGCGTAGGAGCAGTTCAGGAGCTGGCAGGAGCTGGCTGACTGATTTGAAGCATGATACGTGTCTTGGATGAGAATGGTGGGCTGTTGAATATCACAAATTACTTTTTCTTTCATATTTACATATTTTTACAAATTTATTGCTTGGCAACCTGCTCAAATCATTATTTTAATACATATAATTTGTTTTGGACATTAATCGCTAGCCCACTATTTGCGGTGGGATCTACGGCGGTGACGGTAAATATTGTATTGGTGCATTTTAACTTGTTTGTGCCATGAATGACTATTAGCTATGAAATCAAAAGGTCAAATTATGTCATGCGATATGCTTCTTACTATCACTTGGGGTTCGCGACGAAAGTAAAGGCTGCCGGTCCTAAAGTAAATAAATACCCTATTTGCTCTGTCACTGGCTGTTCCCCATTTTTGTTGTTAAAAATGTCAATGTTAACATTGTTGTATCTATTGCGTAGGCTCTTACTCATGGAACCCCAATGCCTTCAAGTCATGTGCAGCATTGTGGGCAGAGGGTTAAATCACAAACATAACCATAAACCTATATTCCGCAGCCATGTCTCGGAAGCTGGAGCCAGTGTGCTCGCTGTCCGGCCACACGGACCGGGTATGGCAGGTGGCCTGGGATCCGGCCGGCCGCACCCTGGCCTCCTGCTCGGCCGACAAGACGGTGCGGCTGTGGTCGGAGACCGGCGCCGGCTGGAGCTGCGCCACCATCCTGGCCGACGGGCACGAGCGCACCGTGCGCGGCGTGGCGTTCTCGCCGAGCGGCCGGCTGCTGGCGTCGGCCAGCTTCGACTCCACGGCGGCCGTCTGGGACCGCGAGCAGGCCTGGGAGTGCGCCGCCACCCTGGAGGGTCACGAGAGCGAGGTCAAGGCGGTGGCCTGGTCTCGCTCCGGCAAATACCTCGCCACCTGCTCACGCGACAAGTCCGTCTGGCTCTGGGAGCTCACCGACGACCGCGAGCTGGACTTTGAGTGCGCCGCCGTGCTGATGGCGCACACACAGGACGTGAAGCGCGTCTCCTGGAGCCCGGTCGAGGACCGTCTGGCGTCGTGTGGCTATGACGACACGGTCCGCCTGTACCGTGACGACGGTGACGACTGGGTGACCGGCGCCGTGCTCAAAGGTCACAGCTCGACCGTGTGGGCGGTGGCCTGGGATGGGGCCGGTAAGCGAATCGCCTCGGCTTCCGACGACGGCACGGTGCGGATCTGGGCGGAGACGCAGCCGCCCGACCAGTGGAGCTGTGTGGCGCTCCTCTCCGGCTTCCACCAGCGCGCTGTGTACGACGTGGCCTGGTGTCCGCTGACGGGCCTGCTCGCCACCGCGTGCGGGGACGACGCCGTTCGGGTGTTTGCCGAGGAGCCGGGCGCGGGCGACGGCGGCGCGCCGGCCTTTGGCTTGGTGGCGTCCGTGCCGCGCGCCCACGGCCGCGACGTGAACGCCGTCAGCTGGAGCCCCACGGAGCGGGGATTGTTGGCGTCGGCGGGCGACGATAACCTGGTCAAACTCTGGCGGGTGAGTGAGGAGTGAGAGGTGTGGCTGAGTGACGCTAGGTGGCACGGCTGTCGCGGTGCTAAGTGCAGATGACCATGGGGTAGCAAATGGACGGGGTCTGTGTAAACACAAGTATGTATAGATTTGCTATTGTTTTGCTTGAACTGAAATCTGACATATAAACGTACGAACAAATTGCACCAATTGTTTGCCTTTACGTTCGCCACATTTGGGTAGGATATCGTCGGGGATTGGGTGTTCGGGTTCATAACACCCCAAGTGGGTGTTTGGGCCGCATCGTTGGCGAATGGTCTAAGAACGGCTCAGCTATAAAGCAAGTTAAAAATACGCTGGGCCAGGTAGGATTAACAGACGGGGCTGAAAAATCAATCGTCAATGCTCAATCTGAGTAAAGGTATTGTGGTTTTAAACCGACTTTACCAGAGCTAGAACTTTTGGAATTCTTAAAATCCTAAATCTAAAAATCTTCAGTTTCGAAATCCTATCCTGAGTAACGTTTCAGACTGCGTGAATAGCAACGGCGCTGTAGCTGGTCATCCAGCCGATAGAGAGTGTCGCTTCAGTCGTTTTCACGCTCACCCCTTTTTACTCGGGTCCTGGGCCAGGTGACGCCAAGCCACCAGTCAGGTCAATAGAGGTCAACAAATTTGAATTTTCCTGATTGCAATGTTTGGCCACATTGGTCATGATTGTAAACAAATGAAAATTCATCGAAATAATTAGATGGTACTGTCGCAAGCTTTGTGACTTATGTGGCCTCAGATGCGACCTCAGGTCAATCGTTGAATGAGCAATTCCGAGAAGTTTTCATCGCTTTAGTATGCACATAGCATGTACATAGCATGTATCAGAAGATGGAAATGCCGGGTCACCTGTGTGATTTTCCTATTAGTGTCACGGGTCACAGGGTCAATGAACATATTTGAGTGCTTACAATGGTTCATGCGAAAGAAGGGTCTCATTTTCTCTCTAACACTTGCATTGGAGATAGAGGGGTCGTGAAATTCGCCTGAATAGGTAATCGAACTAAGTAATCAACCACATCCCTTTACATTCTGTCACCAAATCGTCATCTCGTCAAAGCAGCAATGGCAGCATGTTCTGTTTTCTGTTTGTTTTGTTTTGTTGGGTTAGGCCCTTTCGGTCCAATGAGATCGTTTCAGAGCCGGGAGGATGATAGGATATAGGGGGAGACATTGGTCTGGGCAGGCACCCTAGTGAGTCGCCGGGGCTGAGCCCGTCCAGAGGACAGGCCACCCAGCCCCAAGGCACTCTTTGCACCCGGCTACGGGGAGCGCTCCCTCGGGAGCAGCGGTGCCGCTCCAAGGGAGCAGCCCGCATGAGATAAAGTTGCCTGTCCAGCCCGGAAGGGGTTGCGGCGTGGAGGAGAAGGATTTCAGTTTCCTGAGGATAGAAGCACGGAACGGTGTCTGTTTTCTTGAGGTGTGATCACCTAATGTGACCTGGCGATTGGAGTCCTTGCCTCCTGTCAGATATCTGCTCGCCTCTCTGTCCTGGTTTGTGAAAATTTCAGCCCTAGCCGACTTCCCATTGCGGCCCCTTACCATGTTCCAGCAATGGTCCCGAGAAACTCGTATGCATCTGAATTGCCTTTTCAGCATCGTTTGTGGCCCTGCATCTCTGAAATATTTGACATCGACCATCCATTCACTCGCGATTTCCTAAAACGTTAATGTTAATTCCTAAAAGTTAATGCGTATCCAAACGTTGCCTTGGTCACAAACTGATCACAAACTACTCAAAACGTTTTGCCGGAAACGTTTCGGTCAAACGTTTCGGGACGTGTTCCAACTCGTGTTTGTCTGTTCCCTCCGACTCGTGACTATGAGTCACGTCTGACCGCTGAGCTGCGGCCACAGGATTACGTGGCAAAACAGACCACTATCACATGTCAGAGGCGCAGACAGGCACCGACAGAGGGATGACGTGGTTGAACTTGCGAAGGTGGATAGACAGTAACATTCCCCTGAACGAGGGTAGTTCTTTTGCATGGGTTTAGCCTAGGGACGTTTTTTTTTACCGAGGGCAGCCCACCCCTGTCCCTCCTGCGTAGCCTGCCTGGGACCGCCACTGTCGGGTCGTCGGCCAAGCGCATGACGCAACACCGGTTGCGTCATTCCGAAGTTTCGCGAAGCTCGGTTGCACCACGTTACGGAAGGTCATGACTTGCATGTTTTGGTCTCAAAACGGCGCCGCCCGCCCACCGGCGCACAGTCGGTCGGACCGAAAGCCGAGAGCGACATCTAGTGACGGAGCAAGTGACGGCAGAGACAGCTCGGCATAGCAGACAGCGGACAGCGGTGACACCGACAGCAATCGGTGACAGCGGTGGACAGGGGTGACAGGTGACAGTACGGTGACAGCGGTCAGCGGTGACAGTAAGGTGACAGCGATGCCAGTGTGCAGTGAGATGCCCTGGGGCGGCCCGTTCCACGGCCCCCACGGGTACAGTAGGGGATGGGCAGGCCGGGGCGGGTACGGCAGAGGGGGTTTCGGGGGCTGCGGTCGCGGCGGTGGGCTGGGAGGATGGGGTGCTCGTGGTATGGGTCCATGGGGCTTCTGGGGTCACCACGGTCCGCACCATGGTCCGCATGGTCACCGTGGTCATCACCATGGTCCGCCTCCCCCTCCTCCCCACTGCGGTCCTCCCCCTGCTCCCCACTGTCCTCCCCACCACGGCGGACCGAGGGGCGGGTTCCACGGCGGCTGCCGCGGAGGGATGGGCGGCGGTCCCATGCGGGGTCGGGGTGGGTTCGGGTCCTGCGCCAGGGGTGGGTTCGGGTCCTGCGCCAGGGGTGGGTTTGGGTCCTGCGCCAGGGGCGGGTTCGGGTCTCGGGGTCGGATGGGCCCTTGGGGATGGGGGCCGTTCGGAACTGGGCCTCGCCGCTGGAGCTCCCGGCCCGGCGCCTTCGACGCACCGTTCGACGATCGCCTTCTGGTGGCCATGCTGCTCAACTTCGACCTGCCAGACTTCTCACGAGATGGCGACACTGGCGAGGAAGTGCCGCCGTCCGCTCCGGAGCCTGAGCCCGAGCCTGAGACCACTGAGAGTGAGACGAACACCATCCGCATCGACACACGTCGGTTCAACCCTGAGGACATCCGCGTCAGTTTCTCTGAGGGCGAGCTGCGCGTCTCGGCGGCGCACACAGACGACAGCGGCGAGCAGGTGACCCTGACGAGGTCAGCGACCCTGCGGCCCGGGTCAAAGGTCACAGCCCGACTGGCAGCGGACGGGTTCCTGTATATCCGAGCCGAGGAGCCGACGGAGAGGGACGTGCCGGTTCAGGTGGAGGAGGAGAGGCAGGAGTGAAGGACCGTGTCAGGAGAGGCAGAGAAGGGCGGAGAGATAGGTTTTCCTTGGCAGGGCTAGAAGTTCCACCGCGAATAGGAAACCTGCCAGTGCCAGGTAAAGCGCACTTTTTGGGTGGCGGAAATTGATATTGTTTACAGGTGTTGAGAATAGGGAAAACGCGAAATTGGCTAAGCTTGCTTATGGTAACCCTTCAGTCAAAACATTTCTTAGGTAAACGTATTTTTTGTTCAGTCATTCAGATTAACGTAGCCATAACAAGCTCGTGGGCGATATGCCTTTAATTTCTTTATACGGTCTCTTTCATTATCGACAATTATTTAAGCTGTGTTTAGCTTAGGTAAATCTCCGTTGCATGAAAGATGAGTTCACAATTCTATCAATGTACATAAATAGGTATAGATAGCCGTACATTCAGTGATATAGCAAATGTAGGAGCGCGAGTGTGATGTACGTACGATGTGTGTATAAACATGTGTAAAATAAAAAAATACAAAATGTTCAAAGCGCCTTTGCTGGAGTATTGTGGTGATAAATGGACTGCAGAGATCGACAGATGGATTACCGTGCATACGTTTGCATATACCTACCGCGTATGCAAAATGAAGGAACGGGCAAATAGTTATAGTCGGGCATCACGACTGGGGACATCTGTGGGTGCTAAGCTTGCACCTCAAAGATATGGCGAAGACATAACGAGAGGTGACACAGCCTCTCTTTCCTCTCTCTCTCTCTCCCTCTCTCTCTCTCTCTCTCTCTCTCTCTCTCTCTCTCTCTCTCTCTCTCTCTCTCTCTCTCTCTCTCTTCCTTAAAACAGCGGCACCTTCATCACTGACTTTATTTTCGTTATTTACTCCTGCACACTACGATCGACACGCCTCACTAATTACCAAATACCAGCACACCCGTATACCGTGGCGAATCAGAGCGAAGCCGGTGCAGCGCCGTCTGCAGCTCCTCAGTCCGTGAGAGAGCTGGGGCAGCTCACCGGACCCGGACGCCGGCTAGGGCGGGGCTGGGGTCGCCGGGGGAGGGGAGGGGTGCCTGACGCCGACTGGCACAGACGGCCGGGAAAGCCGGAGATGAGTTCAAGCTGACCTGTGGTGACCCGGACGACGGCCGGCGAGAGTCAGAGAGCAGGAGAGACGGAGAGCGAGAGAGAGAGAGAGAGAGAGAGAGAGAGAGAGAGAGAGAGAGAGAGAGAGAGAGAGAGAGAGAGAGAGAGAGAGAGAGAGAGAGAAGAGAGAGAGAGAGAGAGAGAGAGAGAGAGAAGAGAGAGAGAGAAGAGAGAGAGAGAGAGAGAGAGAGAGAGAGAGAGAGAGAGAGAGAGAGAGAGAGAGAGAGAGAGAGAGAGAGAGAGAGAGAGAGGAGAGTGTGAGTGCAGAGTGGCGACTGAGAGTGCTGAGGGATTGCAGAGAGCTGATCGCTATGCCATTCGTTGGAAATCTCGACGTCCGTGAAGTTAGCGTCGTATTCCGCGACGGATTCAGCGTCGAGTCCGAATTTCAACTAAACCCAACCTATCCGATGCAGTTTGGGACGCTGATTCCGAATATCGTATTCATTTCAAATTTCAAGGTCATCTTCAAGGGCAAATCACGGATTGAAATTGAGTCCCCGATTTTTCCTACACCGATCGTCCGATCCGATTTCTGAAGGTCGCATTCGAAAGCTAGGGTCAGAATCTCGAATTCCCTAATATATACCTTAGTAAAAATATTTGACCTTAAAGGTCAAATCACGGATTGAAATTTTGAGTCCCCTATTCTTTCTACACCGATCGTCCGATCCAATTTCTGATGGTCGCATTCGATAGCTAGGGTCAGAATCTCGAGTTCCCTAATATATACCTTATTAAAAATATTTGACCTTAAAGGTCAAATTACGGATTGAAATTTTGAGTCCCCAAATTTTTTTCTACACTGATCGTCCGATCCGATTTCTGATGGTCGCATTCGATAGCTAGGGTCAGAATCTCGAGTTCCCTAATATATACCTTATTAAAAATATTTGACCTTAAAGGTCAAATTACGGATTGAAATTTTGAGTCCCCAAATTTTTTCTACACTGATCGTCCGATCCGATTTCTGATGGTCGCATTCGATAGCTAGGGTCAGAATCTCGAGTTCTCTAATATATACCTTATAAAAAATATTTGACCTTAAAGGTCAAATCACGGATATTCGACATTAAAGGTCACATCACGGATTGAAATTTTGAGTCCCCGATTTTTTCTACACCGATCGTCCGATCCGATTTCTGAAGGTCGCATTCGATAGCTAGGGTCAGAATCTCGAATTCCCTAATATATACCTTATTAAAAATATTTGACCTTAAAGGTCAAATCACGGATTGAAATTTTGAGTCCCCCTATTTTTTCTACACCGATCGTCCGATCCGAATTCTGATGGTCGCATTCGATAGTTAGGGTCAGAATCTCGAGTTCCCTTATATATACCTTATTAAAAATATTTGACCTTAAAGGTCAAATCACGGATTGAAATTTTGAGTCCCCCTATTTTTTCTACACCGATCGTCCGATCCAATTTCTGATGGTCGCAGTCGATAGCTAGGGTCAGAATCTCGAGTTCCCTAATACCTACCTTATTAAAAATATTTGACCTTAAAGGTCAAATCACGGATTGAAATTTTGAGTCCCCAAATTTTTTCTACACCGATCGTCCGATCTAATTTCTGATGGTCGCATTCGATAGCTAGGGTGAGAATCTCGAGTTCCCTTATATATACGTTATTAAAAATATTTGACCTTAAAGGTCAAATCACGGATTGAAATTTTGAGTCCCCCAATTTTTTCTACACCGATCGTCCGATCCGATTTCTGATGGTCGCATTGGATAGCTAGGGTCAGAATCTCGAGTTCCCTAATATATACCTTATTAAAAATATTTGACCTTAAAGGTCAAATCACGGATATTCGACCTTAAAGGGACTATCCCACCTTTAACATGGGGTTTGAGTTGAGATAGCCAAGTTTGCGGTGAGGTTCAGAAACCACTATCTATCTAGGTTGCAACCCCCGCGGCCTCTTGGTGTTGAAGAAATTCGTTCCCTTCATTTGAAAATGGGCCTTGTACAAGGCCCTATCTTCAACATGGAGCGACCGTTAGTATGACGTCACCTCGTTTAGTCATTCTGATTTAAATGGGTTTGTTCGTTGAAAAATCGCTTAAAACTTGTTCTGAACTTTGTTGTGGTGCCTACAGAGTAAAAAGAATCAGCTTTATGACAGTAATGTGGCCTGGGGAAGGAGGTAATTTTGGGCTGTGACGTCACATATTTGAAAGTTTGTGTTTGGAATACGGGAAGCCTAAGATGTTTAATGAAAAATAAATGCCAGAACCGTGTTCCTGGTCATCCAATCTATAAAGTCGGGCACAATTTAACTGGTTTTAACAACATTTTAGAAGGTGGGATAGTCCCTTTAAAGGTCACATCACGGATTGAAATTTTGAGTCCCCCGATTTTTTCTACACCGATCGTCCGATCCGATTTCTGAAGTTCGCATTCGATAGCTAGGGTCAGAATCTCGAATTCCCTAATATATACCTTATTAAAAATATTTGACCTTAAAGGTCAAATCACGGATTGAAATTTTGAGTCCCCCTATTTTTTTCTACACCGATCGTCCGATCCAATTTCTGATGGTCGCATTCGATAGCTAGGGTCAGAATCTCGAGTTCCCTAATATATACCTTATTAAAAAAAATTTTGACCTTAAAGGTCAAATCACGGATTGAAATTTTGAGTCCCCTCTTTTTTCTACACCGATCGTCCGATCCAATTTCTGATGGTCGCATTCGATAGCTAGGGTCAGAATCTCGAGTTCCCTCATATATACCTTATTAAAAATATTTGACCTTAAAGGTCAAATCACGGGTTGAAATTTTAAGTCCCCCTATTTTTTCTACACCGATCGTCCGATCCAATTTCTGATGGTCGCAGTCGATAGCTAGGGGTTCCCTAATACATACCTTATTAAAAATATTTGACCTTAAAGGTCAAATCACGGATTGAAATTTTGAGTCCCCCTATTTTTTCTACACCGATCGTCCGATCCAATTTCTGATGGTCGCATTCGATAGCTAGGGTCAGAATCTCGAGTTCCGTAATATATACCTTATTAAAAATATTTGACCTTAAAGGTCAAATCACGGATTGAAATTTTGAGTCCCCCTATTTTTTCTACACCAATCGTCCGATCCAATTTCTGATGGTCGCATTCGATAGCTAGGGTCAGAATCTCGAGTTCCCTAATATATACCTTATTAAAAATATTTGACCTTAAAGGTCAAATCACGGATTGAAATTTTGAGTCCCCCTATTTTTTCTACACCGATCGTCCGATCCAATTTCTGATGGTCGCATTCGATAGCTAGGGTCAGAATCTCGAGTTCCCTAATATATACTTTATTAAAAATATTTGACCTTAAAGGTCAAATCACGGATTAAAATTTTGAGTCCCCCTATTTTTTCTACACCGATCAATCCGTGATTTGACCTTTAAGGTCAAATATTTTTAATAAGGTATATATTAGGGAACTCGAGATTCTGACCCTAGCTATCGAATGCGACCATCAGAAATTGGATCGGACGATCGGTGTAGAAAAAATCGGAGGACTCAAAATTTCAATCCGTGATGTGACCTTTAAGGTCGAATATCCGTGATTTGACCTTTAAGGTCAAATATTTTTAATAAGGTATATATTAGGGAACTCGAGATTCTGACCCTAGCTATCGAATGCGACCATCAGAAATTGGATCGGACGATCGGTGTAGAAAAAATAGGGGGACTCAATATTTCAATCCGTGATTTGACCTTTAAGGTCAAATATTTTTAATACGGTATGTACTAGGGAACTCGAGATTCTGACCCTAGCTATCGACTGCAACCATCATAAATTGGATCGGACGATCGGTGTAGAAAAAATAGGGGGACTCAAAATTTCAATCCGTGATTTGACCTTTAAGGTCAAATATTTTTCATAAGGTATATATTACGGAACTCGAGATTCTGACCCTAGCTATCGAATGCGACCATCAGAAATTGGATCGGACGATCGGTGTAGAAAAAATAGGGGGACTCAAAATTTCAATCCGTGATTTGACCTGTAAGGTCAAATATTTTTAATAAGGTATATATTAGGGAACTCGATATTCTGACCCTAGCTATCAAATGCGACCATCAGAAATTGGATCGGACGATCGGTATAGAAAAAATAGGGGGCTCAAAATTTCAATCCGTGATTTGACCTTTAAGGTCAAATATTTTTAATAAGTTATATAATAGGGAACTCGAGATTCTGACCCTAGCTATCGAATGCTACCATCAGGAATTGGATCGAACAATCGGTGTAGAAAAAATAGGGGGACTCAAAATTTCAATCCGTGATTTGACCTTTAAGGTCAAATATTTTTAATAAGGTATATATTAGGGAACTCGAGATTCTGACCCTAGCTATCAAATGCGACCATCAGAAATTGGATC